AGTGGGACTGTATCAAGTAAATGCCTCACGTCATTTCCTTCCTTTTTCTTTTCTGCTGCTGCTTTTCACCTTCTTGTCTTTTCCTCACATTTAACTTCCCTTTCTCTCTCCTTCCTTTTCTTTAGTAATTCATAGAGAAAGGCATACATTTTATTGCATTTATTTGCTGAGGAGAAAAGTGAAAAGCCAAATGATTAGATGAAAGGGTCATTGGAGAGCAACTCTTCAAGAGTGTGCAAAACTTTTTGTGAAATGCCATGTTGTATTTATTTTAGGCTTTCCAGGCTGCACCGTCTCTGTTAAAAACTATTGAACCTTGCTGTTAATACTGTGAAAGCAGCTATAGCCTATATGTAAGTGAATGAGATTAGCTATGTTCTAACAAACATTACAGACACCAAAAATTGAATTTCATACAGTTTTACATGGCAGAACACAAAATATTCTCACACCCTTTTTTTTTTTTTTAACCGCTTAACAATGCAAAATACTATAAGCTTGTGAGCTGTGAAAAACAGGTGGTGGGATGAGTTTTGGCTGAGGAATTAGATTTGATGACTCCTGCTGTCAGGGATTCACCTTGATAGTCATAATAGTATACAGCTTTCCAATTTAGAGGCCTTTTATATGCCCTAAATTAGATGTACTGAGATAATTCAAGTTGTTATTGGAGTAAAACAAACAAACAAATTAATAATGGTCTTTTCTACCAGTATCGAGGTTCTGGCTTGATCTCCTTTTAATTGTTTTATCATAGTAGCTGTTATTTGTAACCTGGGCACAAACAAAACAATCTGAAGTGTTTAACTCTACAGCCTCCCCATAGTAGTATTAAAAGTTCAAATTTTGAACAACAGCCTGAATTAAATTCTTTTATTAGATGTTAGACTTTTTATATAATTTCTGAGTATCAGAATGGGGGTTATTATAGCCAACTCACACTTGCAAGACTGATAGTAACAATTACAATAGTGTAAGCTCACACCTACATAGGGCTTAGAATGTGCTGGGTAATATTCTAAGCGTTTTATATATTTTGACACATTTAATTCTCACAACCACAATGATTTTCATATATACAAACATTATAATGAGGAGGAAAACAAGACACAAGAAGGCTGAGTAACTCATTCAAGGTCATATACTTAATAAGATACAGGGCCAGCATATGAAAGGGCAGTCTCAACTCAAGAGTGGGAGCTTCTAACTGTAAAGTTTAACTGCCCTCTAGAGTGGGACACTCTAGCACATGGGTCTTCATGAGACATACATTAACTTTACTGAATATAATGCTACCTTTTCTTCATGAAACGCCTATGTGGTACCAGCTAACATGCATAAATAGAAGATTCAAGTTGTTGTTTGTGGTGGTGGTGGATGGGTGTGTGTGCGTGTGCGTGTGCGTGTGCGTGTGCGTGTGTGTGTGTGGTACTCAGGTCCTCACACTTGCTAGGCAGGTGCACTACCACTCGAGCCAGTCTGCCAGCCCTTTTTTTATGTTAGGTATTTTCAAGATAGGGTCTCGAGAACTATTTGCCTGGGCTGTCCTCAAACTGCGATCCTCCTGATCTCTGCCTCCCAAGTAGCTAGAATTGCAGGTGGGAGCCACCACCACCCAGCTGGTTATGTTTTTTTTTTTAAAGAAGTTTTTGAGTTCTTTTTCAGTTGCAGGTTATTTACATGATATTTTCCACATAGAAGTTCTCTGAAATACTTGCGTTAAGAATTAGTTATTGTAGGCTGGTCATAGTGTTCCACAACTGCAATGCTAGGTACGTAGGAGTTGGATAAAACATGAGACCCTTCTGTGAAAAATAAGCAAAAGAGAGATTGCAGCAAGGCTCTAGTGATTGCCTAGCAAGCACAAGACACTGAGTTCAAATCCCAGAGCTTCCAAAGTGGTGAAAAAAAAGAAGAGAATTTGTTATTGTGAAATCATCTGTAAAACAATGTAGTAGAAATGACTTTACCTCTGAAGGTGGAAGACTTCTGGACTTCTGGTTCTGTTTGTGTACTATTCCTTTGTGTGACTAGGTACAAGATTTGACCCTTGTTTTGTGTGTGGTGACTCCAGTCTGTAATGTCAACACTGATTGGTCAGGGGTGCTGAGGCAGAAGAATTAGGAGTTCAAGGCCAGCCTGGGCTACGTAGTGAGACCTTGTCTCAAACAAAACAAAAAACACCACTACCAAAAAAATCTGACTCCTTTAATTCTGGCTCTGTGATTGACTATAGACTCAATTCAGGATTATGGGATTCACATGAAATAATACGTCAAAGTGCCTGGCAGTTTGTTGAGTTTGTTACCAGGCATTTAACAACTGCTAGTAAACTGAAGGGACTCTTAAAGATTGGAAAATTGAGACCTACATAATTAATTGAAGATCATGTACTTACTTAAAAGGAGTTGATGTTTACTGGAGCTCTTTCGATTTCTTGGTCTTGTTTTATTTTCACTGTTAACTCTCCTTTATTCAGTACATGTAGAAGCATTATGTATATGACAGATGTTTTTTGTTTAATAATTTAGTTTTATTAGGACAAAATCTGGCATTCTTATCAAGAAAAATAGAGTATTTTACTATTTTGAATTTCACAATTGAATTTAAAAAAGAACATGGATACTTAAACATTCAAGTTAAGTATATATATATGAACATTTGAAATTGCTAACATTTTCACCATTCGTACCAATTCATCTTTATCATATAAGCTTATTATAGAAAAATAAATTGGGAGCAAAATATGGAAGAATTTAAAAACTCAAATCAGATCCTTCAGAGAAAATGATGTAATACTTTGAAATAAAAATGGGTTCATTGTACACCTACAACTTTGTAACTGACTCTTGTTAGGGATGCAGCAGGAAGACTTACAAATTCAGATCTTGTAGTTATTGTGTGAACTCTTACCAGTTCATCTACGTAAAGCCTCTGTTGTTGGGTGGGCATGCTGATTTTCTCCTAGATTTCACAGAAACAAAACATTTTCGTAAATTGTCCAATTATTTTCTGTAATTTGGATCTCTGATTCATCTGATACTCATATTTGTAACACTTTCGACATGTGTTCATAATTTACTTTCTGGAAGGATATACGTATTTATGTTCTTAGGGAAATCTATTTACAGTTTGAGAGAACATGTATAAATCTATCATTACATGTCGTTTTCATATTTTGCATAGTGGTAACTAGTAATTTTTATTTTAAAAAATGGGATTGTTTATGGCTACATATAGTAAAATATCTCTTAAGTCTTCTTCATGTATTTTTGGTGTGTTTTCTGTGTGTGGGGGTTCTTTTTTATATGTTTGAATGCCATGAGTGGTAAATTTGCATGGAACATTTTGAAATATAACCGCTGGAATGAACTGGATATTTTGAATTGTCACTCTTTGTCATCTGCCATGGAAGTTTAGAGTCAAAGTCCTACTTTTCACACAAAATTGAACTTACTATTGTCCCTTACTTGTCACTTTCTTGATTTTCTCAGGAGTAATGATGTAAACTCCACTGCTTTTGACCACTTAGTCTTATCTGTTAGTAAGATAATTACAAGGAATGTTTTGGAAATCATATTCGGTGAATTCTTTTGTTACAGATTTGATTCTTTTCTAGTTTTTCCATGCTTGTGAGTTGGGACAAAAAAGGAACAGAATTACTTTTCTTTGGCTCCAGTAGACTATTAAATTATTGTAAATCTCATGTCATTAGTTAGTAAAAGCATAGAAATTTAGAACTTGATGAAATCCTTTGTTCAGTATTCTTGAACAGAATATTCTTCTTGAACAGAATATTCTGCTTGAATAGCTATAATAGAACATTAATTCTATATGTTTTAAGTTCACAAGAAAAGGAAAAGGAATGTTACATTTTGCCCTAATGGACTTAAAATATTCAGTGTTTTTATAATTTGGATTTAATGTGGAGATTTAGTGACAAGTTTTGTAGTGTATGATTTGGAATCACTTTCTTGAAGTACCTTTCCTTTCCCTTTCCTCTCCCTCTTTCCTTCTCTCCTCCCTTCCTTCCCTTGGAACTCAGGGCCTTTTGCTTGCTTGGTAAGTGCTGGACCACTTGAGTCATGCCCCTCAGCCCTCTTTTCTTTCTTTCTTTTTTGGCTTATTTTTCTGGTAGGGTCTAGAATTTTAGTTCAGGGCCTACCTCTGTTTGCAGTCCTCCTACTTGTACCACCACTCCCAGCTTCTGTATTGAGATTGGGGGGGTGTCTCACTAACTTTTTGCCCTGGCTGGCCTCTAACCGTAGTCCTCCTGATCTCTGCCTCCTGAATAGTTGGAATTACAGGTGTGAGCCACCATGCCCTGCCGTAACGCAAGTCTTAGGTAATAGTTGTAAAGTTATTGTTAAATCTCTTGTGTGGTTGATAAATGGAAAAATAACTTTTTAAAAAACTTCTGATAGAAATTCTGTTTTAACTTCAAATCAAGTGTTACAAATTACTGAAATGAAATAGTGATTATACGGAAGAAAAACTGTGCTGGTGATGTAGTTCAGTGGTAGAGCACTTACCTAGCATGCACAAAGCCCTGAATTTAATCCATAACACCATGGGGATGGAAGGACTGGATTGGTGTTTACTTTAAGTAGTGTTTCACCTTTTAAATGTTAATATTTAAAGTGATAAAGTGACAAAACTCTTAGCTATGAACCTTGTGGTGTTTTCAGGTGTTGTGCTAAATAAATAGGCACATATACCACCGAATAAGCCCCCTTTCCCTTTTTTAATCAAAGAAGAGCATCATGTATTAACAATGCTTTTGACAAGATTGACATTCCTTATCTTAGTTTCTTAGGAAATACCAAATATTTCACTACTCTAAAGTTGTGGGTAAAGAATGGATTTCCATTTTTTACATCTCAGCTTATATTGCAAGTTTATTACTTCAGTGCTTGACTAACTTTTGCCTTGATACTCTTTTGAGCTTTGTTTCTGAGCTGTACTAATCACTGTGCTTATTGTTTGAATGTTTGGTACAGGAAGCGAGCAGCTGCAAAGCATCTAATAGAACGCTACTACCACCAGTTAACTGAGGGCTGTGGAAATGAGGCCTGCACGAATGAGTTTTGTGCTTCCTGCCCAACTTTTCTTCGTATGGATAACAATGCAGCAGCTATTAAAGCCCTGGAGCTTTATAAGATTAATGCAAAACTCTGTGATCCTCATCCCTCCAAGAAAGGAGCAAGCTCAGCTTACCTTGAGAACTCGAAAGGTGCCCCTAACAACTCTGAGATAAAAATGAACAAGAAGGAAGGAAAAGGAGCTAGAATTGATTTTAAAGGTAAGTTTCTTTTTTTGGAGAATGGCTTGAAAACCATGTTAAAAATTTACGTGTGAGTTTTTGTTGTCATTTTGCCTTATTATATGACCTTAGTCATAGTAGTACAGTGAAACCAATTGATTGCTAATCAGAAACATTTAATCATTTGTTAATGAATTGATTACAACTTTAAAATTTTTTCCACTAGAACAGATATATGAAGTTGTAATTAATCTCTTAAACTAGGTCACAAAGTGTATTTAAATTATAGTATAGCTAGACTAAATTTCTGCAGTGAAAGAAGCAGAAAGACAAAAGCAGTCATTTTCCATTTCAGAACAAGGCAACATTTCACAGCAACATGAAAAATAATTTACTTTTCCTTCTGATACATCCTTCCCACATCCTGGCATTTAGTGTACACATGCTGCCAACACTCACCACCTACCAGTGACAGCGTTCACTCATCTTTGGTTTTGTAAATGGTCCTATATTCTGAAAATTCTTAAAATTTCCTCTCCTTCCTAACCTTTCTTTCCCTCAGCAAAGGGTAATTAATATTAGCAATAAGGTAATTGAATTTCTGAGATGGGCAGACTTTATCCCACTGGAGGGAATTGTATTTTAAAGGAGGAAGCTTTTTGTTTAGCACCTGTATAAGTTACATGATTCCTTTAAATTTTTTAGTAACATTATAATTTGATGTTAAATGAGTTAAGAGAAGTGGAATTGTGTTCTGACTTCTCCATTTCTACATAAGAGCAGCTTTCATACCTTTATAGTACTTTTTTAATCAAAATGTATAGTTTGTTCTGTTTCATGAATTAGCTCACATGCTTTGGATGAATGCTTGAGTGTTGACAGTACATAGAAGGCGGAAGCTGCATGAGCTCTCCAATAAGAATGTTCCCAGAGTAATAGTAGCTAGAGTAGAATGTGCCACCATAGTTGAATGTAGCCAGCCATGGGGAAAATGGTACATAATGGATGCCCTATTGTTGTTTTTGCCATCTTTTCCTTCTTACTGGTATTTAGTTTTGTGGCTCTTCCCAGTCTTTATGCCCCTCTCCTACTTTTGCTTAAGTGTACATAATTGAAAAAATATTGACCTTTCTTCAGTATGCTACTGTTCCCTGTAGTATTTTTCTATTAACAATTAGAGATGTTTTAATCATACTTTATTTTTATTTTGATTATTTTGTCTGGTAGCTCCAGTCACAAAGTTATTCAATGGTTTAGTTTATCCCAAGTCTCTCTTTGCATGAAATTTTTTTTTAAGTGCAAAATTTTATGAATTAAGACTATTTTCAAACTAGGAGTGGGTATACATTTTAATTGGAGCACTTGGGAGGCAAAGTCAGGAGGATCTTGCATGCCAGGCCAGCCTGAGCTACATAGCAAGATCCTGTCTCAAAGGAAACAAATACACCCTGCCCCTCATACCCAAGAAACAAAAAAAAAAAAAAAACTTTTCAGGAACACACATATATCTTAATGTGGACAGATAAATCTTATAAAAATGAACCTTTATTTTATTTTTTTCCTCAGTAGAACACTTTTTTATTAACACCCAGATTTCATAAATGTTTCTTTGATTATGTTACACATGCACTAAATTCAACGTTTTAAATAAACACTACTTGGAAAAAGTATGGGTGTATTTAAGAATACACCCATAGGATTTGAGGTAGATTAGTAGAATGTCAGAATCAATTAATGAGTATTTTCTGAAAGCATGACATGTCAGTAGAGGGTCTTTCTATTGGTCTTTCTCAGGCTATATTACTTCACACAAAGCTAGTCTTATGATTTTGATGACTAGGAGGCAAAAATGTTTTAATGTCCAGTTTATTTTCTGATTTTGAGACAGAGTGATTATATAACCCAGGATGGCCTGGAACCCAGGATGGTATGTAGCCTAGGCAGGCCTCAAACTTACGATCTGCTTGCCTTTCCCTCTCTAGTGCTGGGATTAAACTCCCAGTTTGCTTATTATAATATTTTCTGTGTTTTGTTAACATTTTAGGAATTAAGACAGGCCTTTTCACTGTCACGTAAGAGTAACTATAATGTTTTCCAAATTGGAATAATGAGAAATAGTTTCCCAGTTAGTGCTTTCACACTGATGAGGAATAGTGTTCAGTAAAAGACACCTTCAAAGCCTCGCATGGTAGCATATGCTTTAATCCCAGCACTTCAGAGGCTGAGGTAGGAGGATTGCAAATTTGGTAACTACATTCTCCACTTCCCTTGCTTCTTCCCACTGCTTGTTTTTAATTGTTCCCAGACTATTTCCAGTGACTCTGTTAAGGTTGATTCTGACCTGATTCCTGGTTGCAGATAGCAATTTTAAATTCAGAGTTTATGAGAAATGGTATAGTCTTTTCTTACTCACAGAATGACAGTCTTAGAGCAAAGTAGGAATACCTCAATTCAACGAATTTGTTTTTTTAATACAGACAGAAGTAGAAAAAGCTGTTTCCAAATGGTGATTCTGAAAGATCATCTTTGTTAAAGATTGGGGGCATAGCGCAAGTGGTAAAGCACCTGCCTAGCAAGTTCAAGGCCCTAAGTTCAACCCAATACCACCAAAAAAATCCCCAAAACAAACAACAAAAAACCTTCGTTAAAACCTTGCCTTTTGAAAACAGAAAGAGAAAAGATAAAACTTTCAGAAAAATACTATTTCTGCTCTATAGCAAGGTTGCAATAGAGCATTATCATGAACCAGCACATGATATATTAGTTCATATTTTCAATTAGTGCAACATGTACCTTGTTTGTGAAGGGAGTTTGAACTATCATGATCTTGTTAATAGTATATGTTGTTGAAAGAACAGGTGAAGTTTTTGGTATTAGTGATTCATTGAAAGAAGAATAGGTAAGCATACTATCTGGATATGCGAATCTAAATAATAGATACTTTCTTTTTAAGAATTTTAACTCATAAATGATACTGAGTCCAAAATGTTTGGCTGTTTTACTTTTCACCAGAATTTATTACAGCAAAATTCAACATGTATGTATTAGGAAAACAAATGTTCTTTTTTTTTTCTCTAATTTTCTAGATGTGAATTACTTAACTGAAGAGCTGGTATATGAAATTCTTGAATTATGTAGAGAGAGAGAGGATTATTCTCCTTTAATCCGTGTTATTGGAAGAGTTTTTTCAAGTGCTGAGGCATTGGTACAGAGCTTTCGGAAAGTCAAACAGCATACTAAAGAAGAACTGAAATCTCTTCAAGGAAAGGATGAAGACAAAGATGAAGATGAAAAGGAAAAAGCTGCATGTTCTGCTGCTGCTATGGAAGAAGACTCAGAAGCATCTTCCTCAAGGATAGGTGATAGCTCACAGGGAGACAACAATTTACAAAAATTAGGCCCTGATGATGTTTCTGTGGATATTGATGCTATTCGAAGGGTCTATACCAGATTGCTCTCTAATGAAAAAATAGAAACTGCCTTTCTCAATGCACTTGTATATTTGTCACCTAATGTGGAATGTGACTTGACGTATCATAATGTATACTCCCGAGATCCTAATTATCTGAATTTGTTCATTATTGTAATGGAGAATAGAAATCTCCATAGTCCTGAATATCTGGAAATGGCATTGCCATTATTTTGCAAAGCTATGAGCAAGCTACCCCTTGCAGCCCAAGGCAAACTGATTAGACTGTGGTCTAAATATAGTGCAGACCAAATTCGGAGAATGATGGAAACATTTCAGCAACTTATTACTTACAAAGTCATAAGCAATGAATTTAACAGTCGAAATCTAGTGAATGATGATGATGCTATTGTTGCTGCTTCAAAGTGCTTGAAAATGGTTTACTATGCAAATGTAGTGGGAGGGGAAGTGGACACAAATCACAATGAAGAAGATGATGAAGAACCCATCCCCGAGTCAAGCGAATTGACACTTCAGGAGCTTTTGGGAGAGGAACGAAGAAACAAGAAAGGTCCTCGAGTGGACCCACTAGAAACTGAACTTGGTGTTAAAACTTTGGATTGTCGAAAACCACTTATCTCTTTTGAAGAGTTCATTAATGAACCACTGAATGATGTTCTAGAAATGGATAAAGATTATACTTTTTTCAAAGTAGAAACAGAGAACAAGTTCTCTTTTATGACATGTCCCTTTATATTGAATGCTGTCACAAAGAATTTGGGATTATATTATGACAATAGAATTCGCATGTACAGTGAACGAAGAATCACTGTTCTCTACAGCCTAGTTCAAGGACAGCAGTTGAATCCGTATCTGAGACTCAAAGTCAGGCGTGACCATATCATAGATGATGCACTTGTTCGGGTAAGTTGAGTTTCTGGTTATAATCAGTACTAAATTAAAAATCTAATGATGGGGATATTGAGATACAGTTGAGTTAATTCATTGGATAAATGACCGAGAAAGGTGGTGAGTTACATAGCCTAAGAACACTTGGATGTTTTTGACCCATATGAAGCATTATACTTCTGTTGCTCATAACCAAAGGTATTGGTCTTATCTAATAGATTTTCTGAATCATGAAAATGAGTCCCAAAACTTTCTCCATTCAGAAGTGAAGAGAATATTGGGAAACTATGCAACACAAGAATAAGGGAAATGTGGCAGTACCCAGTATTAAGTTTGGAGGGGGAGATACAATTAGGAGAAGTGATACAGTAAAGCATGGTATGAAGGTGTAGGTAGTGCCTAGCAAATTTCAGCATGTAAAATTTAGAGTCCCGTTACTGTGAACCAGATGAAGTGACCAGGGCAGATTAGTGCATGTTAACAGTAAGACTTTGGAGTCCTCCTGAGCCACTCAGAATGTCTGTATTTTGACACTGTGGTTGCAGTAGTTTTTCTCACTTAAAAATTTATAGGGACAGCTCTTTAAGTATTGAAACTTCTGGGGACCAAGAATTTTGGAATAATGAATCAAATTCAGGGAGATTGAGCAGGGAAAATACTGCACGTCAAGTTCCCATCTTCTAACTTTTTGTTTTGTTTCTTTTTTTTATTATTTTTTCTTTTATTCATATGTGCATACAATGTTTGGGTCATTTCTGCCCCCATCTTGTTTTGATTCTGATGTCACCTTGCTCCTTTGTTTCTCCCACAAATGGTAAGGATTTTAGTGTCCCTATTTGAGAATGTAGAGTTGGCCAGTAACAGAAACCAGTGTCCAGACACATTTAACCAGAATTACATTTGTTACATACTAGGGTTTTACTGCATTCAGGGCACTAGGTATTCCTGTCATTGCTAATTCTTTTTCATCAGCTTCAAGTAAAATTTAAAATCAACTAAAATTAAAGCATCAACCTGTGACAAACAACTAGTAAACAGTGGTATTTATTTTAAAATATATTTGGTTTTAGAATGGATTTGTCTAAATCAAAGAATTCACAAAAGTATAAACCAATGGAAAAAAGTTTTTTGACATCTCAAAAATTAAAAAACTACAGATTTTGTGCTTCCTTTCATTGTTACTTTTTGGGGAGATGTTTTATTTTTGTCTTTTCTTTTTTGGTGCTGGGATCGAACCCAGGGCCTCACACATGCTAGGCAAGCGCTGTACCACCGAGCTACATCCCAGCCCTCATTATTACTTTTTAAAAAAATGTCAGATATGTTTTTAGTGTTGAAGAAAGATTCTGCATTATTGAAGAAACTCAAGCAGTTTTTTAGTAGACAAGAGAGTTTTAACTGCCCAATATAATAATTACTGCTTACTTTCTAGTGATCTTTTTCTTTTACTTAATATAGTTTTATGCTACATGAATGATTAATATGCTTAGTGATTGATCATTAGGCAATCAGAAACTTACTCTACATAATTTACCAGAATGATAGGGTATTTTATAATATAAGTACTTTATGTAAAGTACTTTGAGATCTGTCAATGCAAATCCACTGTTAGAACAGAGATTGAAATGCCAAAATTGTATAGCTTATGTTTCACTTCTTGAGGTGAGATCCCTTCAGCTATCTTCAGTAAAAGCTGCCCGTGGCCTTAAAAACCAATGAAACTAACTTAGTAAAATTCAACTCAGGGTTAAACAGAATTATACACCTTCCCTATCTGCCTTCTGCCTTCTCCTTGTACCCTGCCTGCCTTATTTTCTTCCTTGCTTCCCCCCCTTTTTTTTTTAAGTAAATCCTCATAACCAATAAAAGTTTAGGTATGTGTTGTATACTTTATTTTATTTCAAAAATTATCTTCTAGAAATTTGAGGAAATACCATTATCAGTTTTTAAGCCTTCTTCTCACAGATGTTGGAATAAAATTAAGTGAGTTCTTTTTTTTTTTTTTAAATTATTTTTGTTTTCGCTTTTTGGGTGGTACTGGGGTTTGAACTGAAGGCCTCATGCTTACTAAGCAGGTGCTCTACCACTTGAGTCACTTCACCAGCCCAACTGTGAGTTTTATAATTATGCTAACAAACCCTTTTTTTATATGAGTTCTGCTTAATTGTGCCAAAACTGAATATTGTCATTTGACCTGTTATGAATCAGGATTTACTCGATAATACCTACCTGTATTAGAATATTGCCAGCCCATAAAAGCGATTCACTTCAAACTGCCTAACACACAGGCACTTTGATAAGCAGTAGAGATACAAAGCTTCTTACAGGCTCTGAATGCTTACACTAAGCAGATTTTACTCTTAAGTTTCCTTGTTCACCCTTTTCCCCCTTTTGCTCTACCCTTCTTTCCCCTCCTATTCTCCCGCACTTCTTTCTTCCCCTCTAGAATGTGAAAGGGTTAGAAAAATAATAATCAAAACAGGCCTTGGAAGTCAAGTTGATAATCTGCCTTAAAAAAAAAAAAAAACTAGCAACAGGTGGTGATTGTGATAAAGTGACATTATTTTAGTATCACAAAGCAGAAGGTTGACTTCTTTGCAAATAGTGATTGAAGACCATTCCCTCAGGTGAGCTTTCACAGTAGCCAGTACTCTTTCAGCAGCTTATTCTCCAGGGATCTATTTTGACTTGTAAGCTTCATCCTTTCATATAAAAATTGGACAAACAGAATATACTTATTGTTCACTTTCTTACGGTAGAGTAATTTTGAACTGCACTATAGGGTTGTTCAGAGAAGAAGGAATGAGAAATTTTGTTGCAAGCTTACATTAAAGTTACAGGATCCCAGACCTCAAAAACTAAAGGTGACCTCCTAGGTGAGGTCTACAAAGTAGAGACTACATTATTTGACACTCAGGAGTAAGTTTTCTCTTGGATCTTATTTTTCACTTTAATTTTAAGACTGGCTTGGAGGTAGAATGAGGGTCAGTAACTTGAATTAATAATTACAGGTTTTTCAGAATAGTAAAATTTGTTTATTGCTCTCATGTACTATGAAATTCAAACTAGACTAGCAACTTTTTTTTTCCCCAGCTGGGGAATTGTCTTTGATGACAAGAGAAGAATTAGTATTTGTAGTATCTTACTAAATTTAAGATACCACTGGTTATAAGGCATAGTATTAGTTCTACTAAGAAAGAAAAATTACCAACAGTTGTAAGGGTGCTCTTTAATTGTATGGTATATGCTGGTTTCAGAGATACTAAAATGTGGAAAAGGAAAGTGAATTTAGAGTTAGTGAAATATATCTTAATTATAGATATCTCAGAATTAAGAACCCTCCCACCCTACACCCACTTAAGTTTCTGGGTTATCTCTCCTAGGACTCATTTTTACTGTTTTTTGTTGTTGTTCCTTAGAAAATAATACAGTAGTAAATACGAGTTTAGAGCTCTGCTTTCATTTGAATGAAAACAGTCTTACTGTGATGTGGGTTTTACAGATTTCTCTTATATCATTTTAACAAAGCATTCCAAGGATAGTGTATATATAAAAATTTAAAAATTATTTTTTGAGGGAGTAGGAGATTGAGATTTTGTATCATGGAGGAAGACAGTTTTGCTACCTATGAGGTGCCTCAAACTTCTACAACTTGAATGGCAAAGTTATCAAAAACAACCAAAACCAAAAATCTGTCCTCCCTAGAGCTTCATATTAGTTTTGGTAGGGAGCTTATGAATCTGTACTTCTAGTAATACTCCCAGATATTCAGATTAAACGAGGTTGCAAACTAATATTTGGGAAAATGGCTATAGTACAGTTTGTATATTAGTGAAGCCATTTTTAGACACATGTTTAGAAGATGATGCCAGACTTTTTAAGAGGATAATGAGGACAACATGCTTAGAATAGCCCTTGATAGTGGTGTGAGACTTTGCTCTGATTAGTCAGTGAGTTCTGGACTTTTGAGTAGTTAGCCTAAAAAACAAAAGAAATGACTAAGATATACAAGTAGATGGGTAAGTTCAAAAATAGAAGCCAGCACAGATAAAAGTGATTGGTACAAATCAAAGGCCCACTACCAAGAAATTCTGCTCAGTCCTCTCTAAAAGTCACTGATTCATTTTATCTGAGGTCTCATAGCACCATCTAACCCAGCTTCAGTAATTATCCTTGGTGAAATGCTTTCAGTTATTATTAGAACTTAAACTTGATTCTTTCATTGTTTCACCAGTAGTGTTTTATAGGAATATTTAAATGTGTTTATGTGCATGTTATTCTCTGTTACTGTGCTTAATGCAGCTGCGTTGTTTCTTATGATTTATTCTAATTGAAATGAAGAACTTCCTGTTTGATTTATGTCCTCAAAGGAATTTCTTATAACTAGAATGAGAATGAAGTAGCCAGCATCATAAATTCTCAGTATCATATAATAACTTAAAACAATGAAATTCATCCATCTCCTTAGTGTTACATGTGAGGAAAACAAATCGAGAGACAGTCTTACCTGCAGAAAATTAATGTTGGAGTTGGAAGTATAACTCAGGATTCCACGTCTGAAGGACAAATGTAATTACATGTTTGGCTGTTACCCAAACATTTAAACTTTATATATAAGACATAGCAAACAGGTCTCCATTTGTGTATAGAAAATAAAATATCTCTGGATAACCTGAAAGTCCCATTCTAAACAGTAATTTAAGACTGTTTGCTAGCAAACTATTGTCCTTGAAGACTTAACAGTTGACGGAAGTAGTAGTTAGTTTAAGTCAGCCTTCTTAAAATTCCTAAGCATTCTTAAATATTAGAGGGCTAGTTTGAGTACTACTTCTACTCAGACATCCATACCATTATCTTTTTTTTTCCTTTTCAATTACAGATAAGGTGGAATTTGAGGTAATATCCCAGAATAATTAAAGATTCTAAGTGATAGACTTTTCTTTTGATTGTTGTAAATCTGGTATAGGATATTTTTATATTGAGATGTCATCCTACCTAGGAGTTCGGAGAATACTTTCAAATCAGGTCAGTTTGGTAAAAATCATCTCTCTAGGATTTTGTAATCATGGCCAACTAAAAGTCCAGACATTAAAAATCATTTTATCTGACAATTGATGAAATTAGTCTTAGTAAGAAAAGCCATACAAGGAAGAGGCAGATGTCATTATATCCAGTCTATTTTTATTTATTTTCTCCAATAGTCTCTATTAAAATAAATGCAAAATATATGCTCTACTATTAAGAAATACTGTATGTCAAAAAATTCATGGGTCAACTAAATAAGATCAGGGGTGTCTACAGATTCTCCTCAGAATGTTTACTGACATTGAATAGTTTCCAAATATTGTAAGATATTTAAAACAACTTGATTTTAAAAATTCAGTTTTAAATGAAAGCTGTGACATCAAGTAATACACATTTACAATTGTGTTCCTCTATCATTTTATTACTAAATAGTGGATTTCTGAAAGTTACTATTTTAAGAAAAAAGTAAATGCATCCCTTACGTAATAATGGATTTGTCAAAGTCGTTACTGCTAATTTTTATATTTTGTATTTATCACAACTTAAAAGAAAAATTTCAAAGACAAGCTACCCATTTATCTTTAAATGATGCATTATTTTATAAAATGTGCATTTGAAAATAGTACTTTAATATATAACTGGAAATTTTTAGTTGCTAACTGTTTTACGAAATTTAAAAAAATATTTTCATTTGACTGTATTCTAAAAGCAATTTATATTTATTGTAAAAAAATGAAAAAAATAGAAAAACCAAAGTCACTCAGAAGGGAGTGGCAGTAAAGCACAGTATTTCAGAGCTTGCTCCCTGGATTGGAATCTCTTCTGCAGTTTACTGTGACTTGAGCAAGTTATTTAACTTTTCATTACTTCAGGGTCCCCATCTGTAAAACGGGATCAGTAATCTTACCTACTTCATATGGTTGTTATAGAGATTAAATGAGTTGTGCTCTGTAAATTCTATATATTGTTTCTATTATTCATGCAATGTTTTGTAATACCATGGTGATTAGTCTTTCACATAAACCTGGAAAAAGTTTTAGAACCAACAAAGTAATAATTACAGTAGCAAGAAACTTGTAAGTACTAACTTTGTACAGGGAATTTAAAGATTTCATATATGTTAACTTAATGGTATATTATTATACTTATTTTACAGATGAAGCTGAAGCAAAGATAGGTTGAAGTTATATGTGTATAGTGACCATAACTGAACTTATTGCATTAAATTCTTTTGGCACCCAAGGTGGAGAACACAGAGTAGAGATTGATGGAAGTAGACAGACATATAATATCTTATTAAGGATGAAGGTAAATTGTCTCAGTTGTCGTATGACATGTCTTAAGTGGAGCCAAGACTAGAACATAGGGCTTCTGAATCCTATAGAAATTCACCTTTAAAAGATTTCACATTGATAAGGAATCCGTTTCAGTTATGAGTGTAAATGGGAAAAGCAATAGAATGTGTAGTCTGAATATCAGACATTAATTTTTTTCACTTTGGAATTCGTATTTGATGTAAGCTTGTTTGACATTGTGATGGAAAAGGAAATAAAACCATTTGCTTACGTCCGTAACACCTAGCAAACTGAGAAGCGGGAGGAGAAAACTAGGAATGGATTATATAGCAATATGAGATGTCCTGGTCCCAAATTTGAGCTAAGATGGTAATTGTCATTTTAGACTTCAAAATTTTATTTGCTCTATAGTTTGTCAGGCTTCCAGCTGAAACATTTTCCTACCCTAAGGTTAATTTCAAGTCATACATTTATTTGACTTTAGTGTTATGGAACTGTTCTAGCCCAGGTTCATTTTGGGACATAAAATTGTGACTCTTATTCAAAGAGCAAAGTTATTTTAAAAGATAACATAATGTGTTATCTTAATAATATTGCCTGCTTGTTAGAATTCTTTCTCAGTATTCTTATTAACCTTTACAACCTTGGGAGTATGAAGAGTACTGTTTGGTTTTGTTTTGTTTTCCTTTGCAGACAAGAAAATGGGGCTGAGCAGTTTACTAAAGTTTAAAAGTTACATTAAGTGACAGTTGGGATTAGTAAAGAATATTCTGAATCTCAGTCTTTCAACAACAAAGTGCTGTGTTAAAAATAAATTATCTTAATTCATATTAACCAAAAAATGATACCTAAAAATGATTTTGTAGATATTAGAGACCACTGTTGAATAAGAACATTCATTCTTTAACACTACAGACTAAATTCACAGAGCCATAGAACCCTGGATTTGAAGATATCCAGGAGATTATTTCAGCCAGTTTTTCAGAATTTTTTCGACTATATCTCCTCTTAAGAAATATTTTACACAGTGCATATTCATCTGTGCCTCTTAATTGAAACAAAACGTTCACAAAACTATAGGTACTGTTACTAGGCAGAATGAATCCTGTTTTTTGTTCTGTTTTTTCACCTAGATAGTTTGCAAACCACTAAATGGATTAACTACCCACTAACAAGTTGTAGTTGGTGGTTTGAAAAACATGGTTTTTAGGACAACCTGATCTGATTATGGATTTATGAGATTTTATTTTTTATAGCTAATACACTCGTCCTACCAAAGCTGGCATTGTAAAACCATGCTTAAAATTCCCTTTCGAATAGTTAAAATATCCTGAACATTCTTAGATATTGTTTTGGCAACTTTTCATTTTGAAGAATGAAATTTTTTTATTAGATACTTGAGAGCCATTTAGAAAATAGTATGGATAACTAATCAGGCATATTGGTAACAAATTTTAAATATGTAAAATAAAATAAATTTTATTGTAAATACTTTGCATTAGAATCTCATATTGATGGTTATTTCCTTAATGGACTGAGATTAATTACTGTATATATAGATAGAAATGTATCTGGTAAAAGATTTATAGTTTAAGAAATGCTAGATAGTAGTGTTGGTTAACTGTTAGTTGAGAACAGTAGGGACATCATCTAGAGCATGTTTCACCTGCTTTCATGAAAATGTGGGTATAAGATGCATTGTATGTGTTAAAAAGTGGTAATTTATATTAAATGCTATTGTGAGAGAACATAAACTGCATTCCTGTTCATCCAGTGTGTTTTTCTTAATTGAAATGAATTTACTTATAACTTAATGGGTAATAAGACTTAATTTTTGAGTTTCTCTTCAAATAAACATAAAGCCCTACTTCTAAACAACTTTGAAATCAAGCTCCTGTACTACATTGTTTTTACTGAAATGACTTAGTTTCAATAGTCATTTTTCTGTCTTAACGCCATGTCCTATTACCAGAATAGCTGAAAATCTAATTCTAGTTTTCTACTATATATTAATTTCCTAACAAATCATCAAAGTTAGAAAATAACATTTTTATTACGCCAGTTTCTTTTCTGTCCCTTTCCACCCTATTTTTTTCATTTTTTTTTGTGAGACTGAATCTGTCTTCACTTTTGTATTAATTAGTTTGCCTCCTTTATCCATGTAGAAACAAAATGTCAAAATCTTTTATTTGTTCCCTGTCACTGCTCCTTGTTTTTATTTTGCTTTTATTCTGTACTGACAGTCATCTTTACATTTATCTCTCCAATCACTAGCTAGAGATGATTGCTATGGAAAATCCTGCAGACTTGAAGAAACAGTTATATGTTGAATTTGAAGGAGAGCAAGGAGTGGATGAGGGAGGTGTTTCCAAAGAATTTTTTCAACTGGTCGTGGAGGAAATCTTCAATCCAGATATTGGTAAATGTTTTAGTGATTATGACTATGGTGTTATATCCTTTTGGTTTTTTTTTTTTCTTTTCTTTTCTTTTTTGGTGGTATTGGGGTTTGAACTCTGGGCCTCATGCTTGCTAGGCAGGCATTCTGCCACTTGAGCTACTCCACCAGCCATGTTACATCTTTTTGAATTAAGATTTTGTCCACCTTGTTTTATATAAATATTCTAAGGTATAAAAAGGAACAACGATGTTGGTATGGATTATCTAATCACAGATAACTAAATTTTTGTGCTTAGGAATTGATCTGTATCATTCATTTATTCAAGGTCTTATTTAGATCACTTAGTCAAATATTCTAATGAAGGAAATTCTCTCTTTGGTAAACTTAATTGGAACTACCTTAGAATGGTATATTTAGTACAGCTGCAAGAATTTCTTTGTTCTTTGTTAGAGCAAAGAAATAGTCACCAAATTAATGGTATTTCTGAAACTATAGTGGTTTAAAAATACTTGTTAAGAGATTGTTTCAAAGTATATTATACTAAAAAGTTCAGAAATACTAGCTCATATCAAATTAATTAAGTTTATTTGCTATAACATTTCTTGGTGGAGGGGGGCAGAGGGGGCACGACATATGCCTCAGTGGTAGAGTACTTGCCCAGCATCTGCAAGGTCTTGGGTTCAATCCCTGAAACCAAATAAACATTCTTGGGGCTTAATATAATAATATTTCCTCCAGCCCACTCCTGAACTCTCCACCCCATATCCGATAATATTTGCCTCTGAAATTTTTATTTGAACACAGTTTGAGAAAGGCATATTACATATATCAGTTTCAAAATGAAGAATGAGAGTTTGTTTTTTATCCCTCTTCCATGTGACAAAGTAGAATAGGGAAAAGACAGCCTCTTGAATAGTCTTCTTAACTGGATAATTCTGAACTTGTTCAGTTTCTACAGTATAACCATATAATTATTGGGCCTGTTTGCATTTAAAATTGAGGAATATTTTAGGAAACAATTTCCAATAAAGGTACCATCAGATTGTGAGAAACACAGTATAGAACAATGTATATCATTTCATATTAGCTTTGAAAGTTGAGCCTGTGGATTCTTACTACTGTGTGTACATTAAATTGACCTTTCTACTACTGTTAATCATATATTTATTTGTGTAGATGTACAAAGAGAAGCAAACATTTTTAGGTTCATGATATAAATACAGTTAAGGTAAACCTAGTATCTATATTCTAACTAATGTTTGTTATTAATCACAAGTCCATGTTCTGTTCACAGTAAACCAAGGACATATAAAACTATGCCCTTTTTGTAAGATAGAAATTAGTTCATGAACTTTGTGGGTTTGGTAAACCTTAGCAGTAGCTTCTAATATATCTAGGAATATTAAACCTTAGTTGTAAAGTATAATTGCATTATGTGCAGAAATAGTTGTAAGGAAAAAAAACATGTTAAGTAGCCAGTTGATAGTAAGGCGGTAATTGAAATGATGACAATCAGAATATCAAATTTACTTTAGGAATCTTTATGGTATTTTTCTTCCAGGGTCTACAAAAATATGTCTAAAATGGAACTTTCTGACCTTCACAATTGTTCTCTTTCATATATAGAGAGTAGGATAATGGCTATACTGTTGTTGAGACCAAAGACATGCATTGGTGACATTTCATAAAATTTATTACTTGTCAACTGAAGCTTTTTTAGTACTTTCATGGGTGATAAAATTTGGCCTGTTTTAAGAAAAAATTAGATCTAAACTGAGACTCAATTACAAATTGGATCATTTTAAAAATGTTTATTCATTACTTATGAACATTAAATTAAAATTTAAAAAACCGTTCTAGGCTTAATTTGTGTTCTCATGATCAAGGGGGCATTATAAAATTCTTGTTTGTAACTTAAACTGAAAGTGAAAATGAAGGAACATTTTTAATGCTTTTAAAAATTCTTACAAACTGATTTTAAAATAAACTTATGTGCTATATTATTTGGCCTCTAGATTCTTTTGTTTTCTATTGAAAGTTACGAATTTTTTCCAGACATAATTTTAAAATATTTTCTTTGAAATCCATAGTACAACTGAGAAACAATTAGTAAAAGAATATAGAAATTGAGTTAATTTTTCCTTTGCACATTCTATGTAAAAAAAAGACAAATCATTAGTAATACTCAATAGATAAAATTAATAATTCTCTTTTCTAAAGAGTAGTATTACAAAGCTTTCTCAGTTTGATTTTTGAGTAATGAAGACTATGTTAAGCTGAAAGTCCACAAAACTTCTTTTGTTTTACATACATATTGGCTCATAATTAACATTAAGTAGCTTTGATTATGCAGGTTTATCAAGTTCATCTAATATTATTTACATGAAGTCATATAACATTGTTTCTGCCTGTATGTTTAATCCATTGAGTGGATAGAGTATGAATGTAAATTAACTTTTCATATGTTTTATTTGATTAGAAAACTTAATTTAATGAAATAGTTTTTCTACTTTCCTAGAAATGCCACTAACATTACTTATTACTTTATTTTCTATACCACTTTTATAACAATCAGATTCTATATTTGGATATTGTTTTCTTAGGTACAAATGTTATAGAAGAAAATTTTTACATACCAACCATGTTTAAATTTGACATGTATAATTATTTCAAGTTTACATTTGTTTTGTTGATCATTAGACTTTCATAAAATACAACAATTATGCATTTTTATAATTTTTTTTAGGTATGTTCACATACGATGAATCTACAAAATTATTTTGGTTTAATCCATCTTCTTTTGAAACTGAGGGTCAGTTTACTCTGATTGGCATAGTGCTGGGTCTGGCTATTTACAATAATTGTATACTGGATGTACATTTTCCCATGGTTGTCTACAGGAAGCTAATGGGGAAAAAAGGAACTTTTCGTGACTTGGGAGACTCTCACCCAGTAAGTTCTTTATTTTTTTATTCAATCTCTTAGATTTTATTTCAATGATAAGATAAAATTTAATTTATGTAACAATTTGCATTCTTCTTTGGAATCTTTGTTGATACTGATACCTGATAAAGTTATTTTAATATTGCTTAGGTGCCATGAACACTTAAAAACTTGAACAGGGAAATTTTTATAGATTCCTGTCACCAGGCAAATTTACTAAGACTGAGTCCATAGAAAAGTGTTCTTAAATACAGTTTGAGTCTGCCAGATGAAAACAGCTGCTCTGGCTACTTGTTGGCTACAGTTAGTATGTCTGTTTCTCTCCCTTTACTCTGACCTCCAGACCAGAGACATCACAGAGGTTCTCATAGAGCACAATGTAAAATATGCTGCTGAATTGATGGTATCATGTTTCTTAGCAGAGAATGAGACTGACAGTGGTTTTTCTTTTCTTTTTTTGTTTTTTTTTTTTTTTGTTGGTTATGAATTATTTAAGAGACAGAAGGGATACTGTCTATGCTTTCAGTCTTGTTAAGTTTTTTGTTTTTTAATCAGTGTGAAACAAGCTAATTTGTTATATTTTAGAGTTCTGTGGTAACCCCATTTTTCCATTTCTGATTATTAGGTTCTATATCAGAGTTTAAAAGACTTGCTGGAATATGAAGGGAATGTGGAAGATGATATGATGATCACTTTCCAGATATCGCAGACAGATCTTTTTGGTAACCCAATGATGTATGATCTAAAGGAAAACGGTGATAAAATTCCAATTACAAATGAGAACAGGAAGGTAATAAAGTTTTTATGTCATTGCTTTTGTTTACAAATACAAAGCATTTATGCTTGTAGTTTTCGAAGAAGCATCTAATACATAGTTCAAACCAAAATTAAGGAAAATTGCCAGATGCCGTTGGCTCACACCTATAATCCTAGCTACTCAGGCAGAGTTAAGGAGGATCCCAGTTTGAAGTCACCCTGGGCAAATACTTCATGAGACCCTAACTTGAAAAAACCCTTCACACCTAAAAAAGTGCTGGTGGGGTGGCCCAATGAATAGGCCCTGAGTTAAAACCCCAGTACCACAAAATGAATGAATGAATGAACAAATAAATAAAAAATTTAAAAAAAAAGTCCAAAGAAATCAAGTAACCAAATTCTTATAAATGGTCAAGCTACAGTTTGCTTAATCTTGGATATAAGAATATATGAAAGCACATAGTTGAGCACTTTTTTCCCCTTTTAGAGAAAGAGGGCACTGAGTAGGAGAGAACGAATAGCTTAATTGTGGCTACAGTATAAAGCAAGAAATACGGTCTTCCCATATTAGGCTTAGAGGTACACAGGACTTCAAGATTAAGTTCCTTATCACAAAACTAATAATTTCATTTAGTGTACATATGTAGTTCCCATTTGAGCTGTAAATGTACTTCTGAAAATCATTCTTTACATCAGATTGGGTTTCAAATGGCTAAAAAGTGTTCATCTGAAAATAGGGTATAACCCAGAACTTAACAGGAAAATTATAATAAATAGTGTGCCTTTAAGAAATATGTTTATATCAATATAATTTTTTGATAAAAAATGCTGTGTCAGGATACAAAGTACCTTTTCCTTTTATGATTTGGTATAGTAGTTTAGCTTAGCTTATCAAGCAAAAACTCCAGCATTTTTGCTGAACTGGATACAGTAGACAATTTACCAAATTAATCTATAGTAGAAAACATGACTTTGTGGTTTGGTCAAATTCAGTACATTGTACTTTATTAAAGCAATTGAATTTTATAAGTTTATACAGGGCTTAAATCTATGTTTGCATACATAGTTGGGGGAACATAAAACAACCTTTTCTATTCAATCTTGTTTGAGATATTACCAAAATTGAACTTTACATATATAACAATTTTATGTACATGTCCTTTTTATAGTGTGATATTGACTATCACAGAGAACGGGAAGAATATAAGGATTATTTGTGTATATAAAATTTTATTTTTAAAAAATATTCTTGAATGTATTTTCCTTGAGGAAAAAAATGTTACACAGTTCAGTAACTTGTGTTTTATTTGTATAGCATATTATAAGAAATTATTGTGGTTACTGTTTTCTACAGGAATTTGTCAATCTGTATTCTGACTACATTCTCAACAAATCAGTAGAAAAACAATTCAAGGCTTTTCGTAGAGGTTTTCATATGGTGACCAATGAATCTCCCTTAAAGTACTTATTCAGACCAGAAGAAATTGAATTGCTTATATGTGGAAGCCGGGTAAGAAAGCAGATATCTGCAAAAATGATCGTATATTGATTTACTGTTTGTAATGTAGAAGATATTAAGTGTAGAAGATGTTAAGACGTATTTTCTTGGATTTGCAGAATCTAGATTTCCAGGCACTAGAAGAAACTACAGAATATGACGGTGGCTATACCAGGGACTCTGTTGTGATTAGGTAAGGTGCTTAATTCTTAAAACGAAGATTTGATTGATAAGAATGTGTGTGATTTGTGCTTCAGACCTTTGTCTCTAGGTACTACTTCCCAAATAAGCAAACTCTCAAATTCTTATCTATAAACATAGAACTGTATTTATTATCCATTTTTATAGTTACTCATGCTTTATTTAATGAAGGAAGTATTTTATGCATCATTTTTTCTTCTGTATTTGGGTTATAAGCCATCTAATATTCCTGGTGTTGTGTGAAATGGTACATTCCTTCATTTAATTCATAAAATAATATGGCAAGAACTATATTTACTCATATTTCCAAGTAATTCCGAGGCAGGTGTTCCCAGTACTTTCTTCCCACAGTTAAATGCTCTTGCTGTTGTATTGTCTACTTCTTTGTCATCCAATCCTGAAAGATGCAGACTTCCCTATCCCCTACTGAGATTGATAAAAGGAACAGATGCCCTTTTCGCACCCAATGGTAGGGTGAGGTGAGAAGGCATTTTAATGCTTAACTTGCTAGAAGGTTATTGCTTTACAACTCAAAGTATATAAACATTAGAATGAATATTAGTTATCTGGCATTAAATATTATTTTATATTATTTTGTTATGTTTGTTCTTTATCATGGTTTGTAGGAAGGTACAAACTCTGGTTTGTAACTCTGGTACAAAACTTTGTCTATTCTGGTACACAGTAAGTCATTTTTCTTAGCATTTGTGAATGTATTTACTCTTAATGAACATTATATTACTACTGACTCAATTTCAAAGTGGTTCATAAAACAGTTGATAACATAGTGATGGGAAAACATCACTTGTCAACCACAAGTAGTATCACATCAGTATCCCTAATATTATTGCTCACAGATAGGACTTCTAGAGTTATTATGAGAAAAGTAGCATCTTAATACTTATTTGAGAATAATAGAAATATCATACTCTTTATAGAGAAATTATTTTGAATTTAAAGTCTTTAGCTTTTATAACAACATATTCACTACTTGAAGCATACCTTAAGATCATTTATGAATGCATGGTTGAAAGGCAAGCTAATACTATGTGAAAGGACAATATAGTAACTTCTAAATCATCCTCACAGTCGATGAAAGGCTTCTTGATTTCGTCACTGTAAATATGTTGAAAATGTTCTCTGTACTATAGAGCCAGTAGGAAGTAAAGTAGTTAAATAGTGCTTATAATACCAGAAATAAAATGACAACACAAATATCTTGGTTGCTGTTTATTTCATATATGCAGAATTCATAAAAATAAAATGTATAAGCAAGTTTTGTGCATATGTTTTCTTGATTTCATTTCTTCTTTGACTAATCAGACACATCTTTTCAAATCATCTTCCCCCCTCACATTTTTGTGGTGGTGGGGGGGAGAAACTGAGAGTTTCTCTTTCAAAGGCTTGATTTTAAAGGTTCAGATTTGAAATTGGTTTTCTTCCCAACTACTATATAGGATTTGGTTTGTATTTCTATCTAGAGCAACTTTAAGTTTGGTTAGCTCTTTTAGTAATTTTTATCGTGGATTATGATCACCTGGGTCTGTTAATCCATTAAGGGTTGCAAAATTATCATCTTTCTAGTCAGTCTCAATCCCTCACAGGCAAACGCTGTTTTGATTACTGCCATATTAGTATTGTCTGTTCTTTAATTTCATATAAGTTGAATCATTCATTGTACAGCTTTGAGATTTGTCCATGTTATTGCATTAATTTATAGTTCATTGTTTGTTTGGTTTTTTTGGCAGAGTAGTGTTGCATGAATGAAATTTGTTCAAAATTTGTTCAAAATTCTCCTATTGGACAATTGGATTGTCTCCATGTAGGAGCTATTATGATAAAGCTGTATACAATTTTACCATTGAAGTGTTTTCATTTCTCTGTGCCAATATGTAGAGAGAGTGGAGGTTTTGGGTCGTGTATAGGTATATATTTGTTTGTAAAAGAATGCAAGAATGATTTTCCAAAGTGACCATATCATTTTGCCAGCAGTGTTAAAAGTTTTAGTTGCTCCACATCTTCTCCAGTAGTGGTAGTCTTACTTTAGTCATTTTGGTGAATGTGAAATGGTATTTCTGTTTGCATTTTTCTGATGACTAATGATGCTGAACACACCTTTATGTGTTTATTAGTCAGTTAGTCCTTTATTAAGGGTTTTCTCCATTTTTAATTAGCATTTGCCTTTCCACTGATTATATACTTTTTCTTTTAAAATCTATTCTAGATTCAGAATACCCATTTCTTATATGTATCTTATGAATATGTTCCCCCAGTCTGCAGCTTCCTTTACCCATTGAATTGCCTCTGCATTTTCATTGAAAGTCAGTTTAGGTATGAGTCTTGCTTCTGGACTCTTAATTTTTGTGCTACTGATTTAGTTTTCCTTTTGCCTAAGTCACACTATGTTGATTCCTTTAGCTTTACAGAGCAAGTAATCAGATGTTATGAATCCTTATTTTCACTGTGCTTCATTGCTTTGGTTATTTTATTTTCATTTAAGTGTCACAGTCAATTTGTTAATTTTTACAAACACACACACACACACACACACACACACACACACACACACACACACACACACGAGGGAAGCCTGCTGAGATTTTGATTTGGGTAGGTTACTTTGGTGAGAATTGCCATTTTTAGCAATGTGAATCCTCCCAAACCTTGAACATGGTATGCCTCTCCATTTATTTTAGATCGCCATTAGTTTCTCTCAGCATTGCTGTTATCACTAGTCCTTTTTTATTTTCCATTTGGGTTTTTTTGGCTCATAGGTGGAAGTAAATGGATTTTCATATATTGACTTGTGTTTTTTGACAGATTTATGAGGATTTCATTTCTAAATCGTCAAATCACCTATAGCTCATGCACATTTACTTCTTTCCAGTTGTTATCCAATGTTATAAAATACAGTTTCTGTATTTCACTGATTACTTAAAAAAGCAAATATCCCAATAAAATGAGTCGCATGAGTTTTATGTTTACATCTTACTGTGGTTTATGGAGTGTACAACAGTATTATGACTAGTCTTTTTGGGGAGAGGGGCATTACCAGGGTTTGAACACAGGGCCTCCTGCTTGCTATGCAAACCCTCTGCCACTTGAGCCTCACCTTCAACAATTTCTCTCTGTGTATTTTAATTTAAACAATTTTATTCCTTAAAAAAAATCAACTTAATTACCTGAGCCTTCAGCAAGTCCTAATCATTTTGCTGATGGAGGACTTTGCCTTGATGTTGATGGCTACTGACTGAGTAGAGTGGTGGTTGGTTAGGCTGAGTAGCGGTGGTAGCTTCTTAAAAATAAGTCAACAGTGAAATTAGCCACATTGACTCTTGATTTCACAAATTATTTCTCTTGAGCATGTGATGCTGTTAGATAGCATTTTACCCACTGTAGAGTCTATGCCTTCAAACCCTATCTCTGCTTTATCAATTACGCTTGTTTACTATAAATCCCTTGTCATCTCACAATGTTCAAAGCATCTTTAACAGGAATAGAGTCCACTCAAGAAACCACTTTCTTTGCTTATTTATAAGAAGCATCCTCTTACCTATTAGGTTTTATCCTGAGATGCAGCATCTTTAGGTTTGACTCCTACTTATATTTGTTTTTCCACCAGCTTGGCAGGTTTTTGTTTTGTTTCTACTGAAATCTTGAACCTGTTAAAGTCATCCAAGAAGTTTGGAATTAACTTCTACCAGATTGCTGATAAGGTTGATATTTTGACCTCTTTCCATGAATCACAAATGTTCTTAATAATATACACAATTGTGAATTCTGTCTAGAAAGTTGTCAGTTTACCTTGCCCAGATCCATCAGAGGTACTGTGGCAGCAACAGCTTTTCACAATGTGTATCTTAATAAGACTTGAAATTTGAAGGTATACTCCCTGATCGGTAGGCTGGTGAATGGATTTTGTATTAGGTATGAAATACTTTTACTCATATGTCAAAAATCATTCAGGCATATTAGTTTTGGTACATTTCTGGGATTTGTCTCTGTCTATTGGATTTTGCTTAAAAAGGCTTTGTCATTTAGTACTTACCCATTTAGAATCATTATTTCATCTCAGTGGATTGGTTTTTTATAATTCATTATATAAGGCCTCTTTTATATCTAGTAATTTTCTTTGCTTTGAATGTCACATGACTAAATCCACTCCTGTTTTTAAAATTAATATTTGCATGATATTTTTCCATTATTTTACTTCAACCTATGTTGCTGAATTTGAAATGAATTTCTTGTAAAGAGCTTATAGTTGGGTAATTTTTGCATTTAAGGATATTGTTGATTTCCTAGGACTTCATTTTGTGATTTTATCATTTTGTTTCTGTTTCTTTTCTCTCTGGTACCTTGTCTATTTCTTTTGTCTTCTGTGGATTAATTGGTTATTTTAACATTTTAAAGGATTTTCTCTTTATTTATTATATTCATTATTTGTGTTTTGCCTTCTATAGTTTTCTTTGTGGTTATTGTGCATATTGCATTATACATATGTGACTTGTCACTTCACTGATTTCAATACTGTGTTGTGTAAAATGTGGAAATTTTGCTTCTGTTTTGGTAAAATCTTCCCTTTTAAGTGCTTTGCTTTGAGTTTTACTTTGTTTCGTTTGTTTTGTTTTGGTGACAGAGTTTTGTTATATAGCCCAGTCTGGCTTTGAATTTGTAATCCTCCTGTCTAAGCCTCACACATTTTGAGATTACATGTGTACACCACCATTCCCAGCTTAATATTGTTAAAATTTTTGCATTAGTTATGAGAAATCTTTTATAGAATTCAAGAGAAGAATGGTAGTCTATTTTCATTCCTCAGGATTCCATCTTTTATCACTTAAGTGATCATCAAAGTTCATTGGCTATTGACAAATTCTTTTAATACGAAGGTGACTATTTTCCTTTGTGTTCCTGAAGAATGATTTCATTTATGCTATTTGGTGTTTGCTCTGTTTAAGATGTGAGTTTGTGTGTTTTGTCAAACATGGAAAG